TGCATGTTTTAAAATATAAACTTAATCTAAACAAACGTTGATATTGAAATAAATATATAATAACAAATTCGTTACAACATGAACCTATTACTCATTATAGGTAGGAACTACGTATATTGCACATGTCTATTGGAGGCTAATAAATTCTAAATTTGTGTATACAAAACTAATGTTACTTATTTGAAAAAACTTTTATATCTCACCTTAATTAAAGGTTTACATACCTCATATTTTTCTCATATATTATGGTATTACCTTGAATACTTTAAAGCTTTATAAATGCTATGTTACTACTTAAATATTGTATCAGTAGTCTTACTTATTTACTTTGCTTCCAAACACTTCATAATTTTGTATGTCTCACAAATTGTTATCATATTTGACTCATCTGAAATTTCTATGTATAAAATTATTCTATCCTATTCAAGAACTACTAGAGGTTTATGTTTGCTTTGTTTTTACAGGCCATGGATGATGATGAACCAATTGATGCCACAGTCCATTCAAGTCAGGTCAATAGAGGTAAACGCATGTCCAATGGTCAGACACATAAAACAGCAGTATCTACCTCTCATACTAATACATTCTCCCAACTGCCCACAGTAGTTTCAGCTAATACACTTTCTCCTGCTTCAGTGGTCACCACCACAACAGCAGCCGCTTTGGCAGCTGCTGCAGCAGCTGCTGGACAGCTGTCATTAAACCAGGTAACAATATACACTTGTTTTTACAAATTGCATGTTTTTAAAATGGACAAGTTTGATACATTTGACAAGTTTTAAAGTTATTGTTTTGTAAATATTATCCTGATAAATTTAAATAGCTTTTTGTAAATAGATTCCTTACAATAAGCATTTACATTGACTTTTTAAGTCCTGAAAAACTATATATTTTGGAGTTAACAACATTGAAGTTTGCAATACATAACCAGAAGAGGCCCATTAGTAACGCAAGAAAATGAGATGAAAGCAATAAGTATAGTTGGCCTAATGTGTGTAACAATCAGAGATGCCAAAGAAAGACTTTAATTAGCAAATCAAATCCATAAATGATAAGTCTGTTTATGAAATACAATGAAAGTCAAGTTTGTAGCTCATTGAAATTAAAGTCCTTAAGTATTCTTCATTTTATCTGTAAAGAAATATTTAAGCCTTGTTCTTCTCCTAACTCTGACCCTACAAATATATTTGTGATCTCATTATGAAAACAAATAATCTAACTGGAAGATAAGCTAATAAGAATATATAAAACATTCCAGCTTGTTAAATGAAAATCTAAAAGGCATTAATTTGAAGCCACCAAATACAGTTTTTCTTCTTTTCTCACATGTATAATTTGTCTTTTTTCTTTTCTTGCCAAGTTAATTAATCACCATCTTGCATGTTAAATTCATAGCCCACTAACCTGAAATAAGCACTCTTTTTTGTCTTACTATTGTGCAGTGAGTTGAAATAATTGCATGATTATCTGAGTTATATTATTTTAACAATATGTAATCGTTAAACTTTCTGTTTGTTATCCAGCTAATGGTTGCTCCTACTCAACAGTCAATGTTAATGCAGGCAGGACTGGCACAACAGTTTCAGATGGGAAAGGTCAGTTAAGCATAATGAATGAAGGCAGTTCAAGTCATAATATTTAAAAATTTTTACACAGTCATATATGTTATATCCCATAAGTCTCATGAAATTCAGGTTTGTTCTTGCAAAGTTAAAATTATTTTTCTATACATTATACTAATTTGGATTACTAAGTGTCATTATATCTTCATTTGTCAAAGCAGCAGTAAGTAGAAGATTATCATAAAGAAATAATAGGTATGATAATGTGTATCTAATTATTACTGCATAATAACACAGACAAAAATTACTAGGAAAATATACAGAGGTAAAATCACCAGAAAATAAGGTAAACAAGACGTTCCATAGGTCATAACTCTAGTTCATACAGTGTACATTCCTTAATCTCTGTCATGAGTTCCCCAAATGTAGAGTAGACGATATGGTGACAAGCTTATAAGGAGATTATAAAGCCTTATCTATTATACAGTTTAAAAAGTGAGCTCATTATTATTTTTGGCTTCATATGGTTTCAAAGATTGCAATTTAGCATATTTTGAATATTAAACAGTACTAAAGAAAAACAGTATTATGGATGTTACATAAAAATATTACTTTTAAAGTTAAAAAAGTTTTAGCATGAACATTACTTCTAAGATTGATATATTATAAATGTTTAATGAGAACAGCACATGAATGATCAAAACAAGTTTTAGCATGAAAACAGCATTTCCTAGGTTAAAACATGATGTTTCATGAGAATTTAAAAGTATTTTAAAGATCAACACAAATTTTGACATGAAAGAGTCATTTTCAAGATTAAAAGATGCTAAATGTTTTTATTACTTAATGTAGATCCCGGTGACATCAGGCTTGCCTGGTCTACAGCTTAATCCACAGAATCTTCAACAACTTCAGCAGCAGCTTCAGCAACACCAACAGAGTCTGCAGAACATGGGTCAGTTTGTATTCCTTCAACCTGGTCAGCTGTCTGCCAATATACAAGCTCAGTTCTTCCTCCAAAATCAGGTATGTAAGTTGACAGTTTCTAATTCCACTGTAAAGATTGATTCTGATACACATGTTGCACTTGATTTCACATTAGTACTGATTTAATACAATAAAACTTAATAAAAAAAATTGTTCACTCAAGCAATGATCAAGTAGATAACAAAAACAAAGAACTAAGATGTTTTTATTTTTTAAATATTTAGTTACATGAATTAGTTTTTTGCACAATTGCTATTTAAAAATATATCTAAGCTTTAAAATAGTGATAAACCCAGACACACATACATGTATATGTATTTAATAAGAAGTGATAATGATTGTAGTAATACTTGGAAAGTCAGGAAATGTGAAACTTGTAACATTCACTACATTTTATTGTGTAGGGACTTTTGATGCAGCAGTCTTTACAGAATCTACAACTGCAGGCAAGCCAAGCTGCTGTCTCTCTCCCTCAAGGGGTGTTATCTCCACAGGTAGCAGCAGCAGCTGCTGCTGCCCAACAACACCTACAACAATTGCAACATAATTCTCATCCTTCCCAACCACAGCAGCATCAGCAACCTCAAAGCACCTCATCTCATTCCTCATCCCAGCCTAAGGTTTGTGTTTATTCAATTTATGGATACAAAGTGTTCATGCTCTATCATCTCAGAATTACCAGGGTACATTAATGAAAAGAAAGAAAAACAAAAAACAGGATAAAATTTGTGCCAATTTACCATATATCAAACCTCAAACCATTACAAGAAGAAATGGAACCATTGAAAAACCTTGTTCATAAGAAATTGATTCAGCAATTTCCATCAGTTCAGTAATATGAAGAAAAGGGCAAACAGGCATAGACACCTCACCATATAGACAACCCTAAACTCATTCCTACATACACTAAAAAAACACTTGTTACTAATAATGCATTATTACACAAGATATTTTGAGATAGGTCTAATACCAATGTATGTATTACTATATCACTCTTTAGTCATTTTGGGAAAGGAATTGAACAAAATATTGACAAAAATGTGAAAAATGTACAGTATTTTTAAAAATGTATGAAATTACAACACTGATAGAGCTAGGATTATAACTTAAATTTTGAACAGACATTACACTTGTATATATATATATATATCCATATTTTATTTATGGCAATTTTGTGCCCTTGTGAACAATTTACAGTAAGTTTCCAAAAGCATATGAGCTTACTGTTGTTTACTGATTTTTCAAAATAGTTCTTTTGAGATTCACACATTACTCACATAATTGATATGGATTAATAAAAACAATACAACACATGCTTCAGTTTCAGATCTTTCATGTGTTAAAACTGATGATTTTTTTAAAATAATCAACTTTGATCGCAACCAACTATGTCGTGTAAAAAACTAAAGGTAAATATGAAACTCAATCTATAATTCAGCACAACACTTGCCACTGAGTTAAACTATTTTCAGGGAATCCAACCCATTATCAGTAATCCTGTACGAAGGAAAATTGAAAGAACAAGAGTAGGCTTCTTCTAATGATCAAGCATATTTTATATGCACAGTGTTGTGTGTTGTCTTTTACTCACCTCAGTGAATCTATATTTATATAGAGTTTGAAAAATATGTAGCAATGAAGTTAATTATTTATTCCTCTGCATAATTCAACAAACTAGCTGTTTAAAATATTAAAAATAAATATGAAGCCCAATCTATCATTTGATTAACCATTTGTCACTGAGTTATACTGCTTCAGGTTCATATAAAATACCCCCCCCCCAGTGGCATAGTGGTAAGTCTGCGGACTTATAACGCTAGAAATGGGTTTTGATACCCATTGTGTAGCTTGGTGCTTAAATACAGACAAACAATCATATAAAATATAGATATTTTAATTTTAATTCTCATTTTTAAACTTAGAGATTAAAATATTTGAACACTAAACCATTAAAGTAACTCATTAACAACTCAGTTTACATTTTCATTTAATAACTTATTATTCTTAACTTTGTATAATGCAAGCTGGAGTTTACTATGAGACATTTCTGTAAATAAGATCAAGACCTATATCTCAAAAATGTAACTTTATTAGCTCAATATTTCTCTGTTACAGCTTCTTCAGGAGCTGTAATAGCAAAATATTGAGCTAATAAAGTTATGTTCTGGAGATTTAGGTCAAGATTTTATTTACATTTATAGAAATGTTTCATTTAATAACATTTTCTGATTCCAATTAATTAAAATTCTCTCATCTTCTGCCACAGATTCACATAAAATATACTTAAATTCAACCAACTAACATTATCTTAAAGCTAACAAAAAACATTAATTAGCATAAAATGTTATATAATAATATTAAAACATTTGTGCATTTTTCCTTGATTCAGTGAAGTTTTATGTTTAATCTATTTGTATGTGTATAATTTACTTAAGGAAATATTTCTATGTTAAGCTAGCTTTATTTTTTCATCCTCAAATATCCCTGGTTTAACTAATCTAAACCAATAAAAACTGTGTTAAGAATGTCTATTGGCCAAGTTTGAATCACATAATTGCAAATATATATATCACATTTCAACACCATATTTCTTAAATCAAAAAAGATGATTTAGTACAAAAATCAAAAAATTATATACTCACTTCATGTAAATTAAACAATCCATGTTTCAGTTTCACATCTTTCAGGTGTTAACACTGGTAATTTATTTCAAATAATCAGCTTTGATCTCACTCAAGTATGTCATGGAAAAAAATTAATAACTTAATAATTAGTTCAAGATTACAAGAAACAAAGAAATTAACTGTATAAGAGATTCGGTAGTTTTATCATAATTGTGTGTTTGGAACAGCTGAAGAAAAAGGGTTTATCCAAGTTCTTGCTATTGTAATACAGTAAAATAATATAATGCAAATCATTCTGTCAGTGAAATTTATTATAGTATGTAACTGTTAACAAACAGTTATCTTTACTTAGTCAAGTACAGTTATAATGAAGCTTTAGGAACTGCTATGTATTCGTCACTATAAGCGTGATTAGTCATAACTGCTATGAACATGAATCTGTAAATGATAATTACGGTATGGCCTGTGTTTTGTTTGTTTTTATTAAAGTTATTAGATAATAGCAATAAATTGCATGAAAATGTATGAAATTCGAGTTGAGAGATTTTTCAGTATGTAATGCAGTAGGTACCTAAATAGTAATCAGGTACTAAATTTGCATTAAAATGCATATTTTTCACTTTATGTCATTGTAACTTTCATAATCACTTAAAATTGCTTCTTGATCCTTTCAAATTGTACTTAAACGTCAACTGCATTATGTTGAATTGTCTGCCACAATGCATTTCTATCAATGAAATCCACTGTTTTAATAATTTCTGCTTTAGCATCTGAAATGAGTTCTTTGCATTTTTTTTTGTTTTATACATGTTAATTGTATAGGTATTGACCAAGGTGTACTAATGAAACATGTTAAATAATTTAAAACGACACTTGTGTAAAACATCTATATATAAAAATAAAATTAATACAATGATAAATTCATTACACAATAAATAGTTATTAAAGTAGGGACTTGCCCTAAATAGATTCTACATATGTTTTGGTGTTCTATGACACCATCTTCAGGAGTAACAGTTGTGGTATGGTTGGGACTTATATACCCACATGATCATTTACATTCCTGTAACGCCATCTAGGCTTAAACTACCCAGAGTTACAAAACATCTGTCTAGTGGTTTATTATTCCTAGACCTGGATCAGCTTCTTAGTTTAATACAATATCTACATAAATACCTCAACCTATACCTCAACCATTACTTCTGAAGATAGAGTCATAGAACACTGAAACATATGTAGTCTTTTGGGGGCAAGTCCCTGTTTTAATAACTGTTTATTGTGTAATGATTTTAACATTGTATTCCTTTTAATTTTAATTGTATACATAGAAACATGCTATTTATAGTTGGTCACCTGTTGTCTTACAGAATGGTTGTTATGGCTGTAGTTGTGGTGTATATGTGTTTGCTGTAAATGTGCTTGATTGTACATAAGAAAATGTTAGTAAATGTTCTTGTTGTGAGATGCTTGATTAAATTTGTTGTCTTCAAGTGTAAATTACAATAAATACACACTTCTAACACCAAGCATCAAAATGTTTCATTCTTTCTTAATAGCATGTTCACACCTGAATATGTAACTGACACTTCATTTACTTATTATCCATTTCTGTAGTGTCTAGAGTGACCTTTCTGTCGATATACTCATAATGCATCTGACATCATGTGAATCTTCTGCTTCTATTTTGACATCCATTCCCATAGCAGCATGCTCATACTGCACCTACAGTGGCATATATAGGTGGGGTAACTGAGGCAACTGCCTCAGGGGCCCATTTGATGCAAATCAATCCCATCTCATGAAATGTCCATTTGTGAGATATGGGTAATTAATATTTTGTGTCCCTATTAACCAATCTGATGTACTCAGTCCCAACCACAGATTTATATGATAAGTAAATCAAACTCCCATTGTCATTATTAACATTTATGTTGAAAACAGAAGTGCCAAATAAGGGACATCATTGTGTCTACTCATTCATTTTCTTCACATGTTCACAGTGTACTAACCAGGTAAGAAAATGTAATATTTTGTTGCAATAAATTGCAACAACAGATCAAGAAAATATAAATCAAATGAACAAAATATTTGAAACATGGTTGTTAATGACACTGACAATGCTGAACAGAAATACTATACAACTAAAGTTATTTTTAATAATGAATAGGCTTCAGGCCAATACCACTCTTCAATATTGTTAAAGATTTATAATATTTTATACTTTTTGTGGTTGATGCAATATTTTATTTATCAGTGTGAGCTAAATACTTGATATAGATAAGTAAATTTCAGTAACTTTTTTTACTGTGATTCTGTTGATTCTGTAAAATTGAGTTAACACATATTATACACAAAATACTCATATTTCTTGTGTATTCTAGAATGTACCTGTGGTCCCACAAGTTAAAGCCCGAGCAGCTGAACCCAGTCCCGAGGAAATTTCAGATTTAGAGGAGTTAGAACAGTTTGCCAAGACCTTTAAACAAAGAAGGATCAAACTGGGTAGGAAGACAATGCTTATAATCTTTTCTAATTTATCGTTATATTTTCTTACGTTTAAGATGATAAAATTCAGAAAAAGTTACATAAAAGTTTTTGTTTAATAATAGTATAACTAATATTTCTTTTAAAATGTTATAATTGCAAACATTAGTTAATATAAACATTTATAAAAGATACTTGAAAGTTTATTGCATTTTCTTCTTGATTCATTCATGTTTTCTGTTTGACCTATTTTCATGTCTAGGCTTTACTCAAGGAGATGTTGGTCTGGCTATGGGAAAGTTGTATGGAAATGATTTTAGTCAAACTACCATATCCCGGTTTGAAGCACTTAACCTCAGTTTCAAAAATATGTGTAAACTGAAACCACTTCTTCAGCGTTGGCTGGAGGATGCTGATGCTACTCTTAATAATCCAGCCTCTTTCACCAATGCTCACGCCACACCAGATGTTATTGGAAAGAAGCGTAAGAAAAGAACCAGCATTGAAACCAATGTGCGGGTAATGTTAGAGAGAGCCTTTAACCAAATGCCCAAACCAACATCAGAAGAAATAACCATGCTTGCTGAGTCACTGGCTATGGAGAAAGAAGTAGTTCGTGTGTGGTTTTGCAACCGTCGTCAAAAAGAAAAAAGGATAAATCCACCAACTTCAATGGTTGGCCCATTTCCAACCTCATCTCTAACCCCAACGAGTATTTCTATGGCTGTTGCTGCTGCAGCTGCGTCTCTTGGTGTATCATCAGGGTCAACCTCTGCTGGCTCTTCCCATGGTGTCACATCAACACCATCAGTCATGAGTGGTGTTCTTCCTGCCCTAACACCTATAAGCTCTGCTCAACCTGCTACCTCAATTGCCATGACTCATCCCAGTGCTCGAAGCATGATACTAGCTAATCCTGTTGTTACAGTGGCACCTGCAATCAAAACAGAATAGATAGATTGTATGTTAGATAGGAGAACTACCTTTCAGATTGTTAGTAGCATGAAGTGAACTGAGAGCAGACAGTTGTTTTCTTGAATTTTTGCCATACTATAGTTCCTAAAGGAAAGTGATCATGACAGAGCCTCACTGGGAAAGGTTTTTCCATGTTAATGAATTTTAAACGGGTACATATATAATATATATATATATATAGATATATATATATATACACACACACAACAAAAACATATATCAAGAAGATGGGTAGTGGCTCCAGCAGTAATGGAAACCATCTAACAACAACATACCTCGAATCATTTTGTACATGAAAGTACATCATAACTAAATACCTCAGTGTCAGACTGTGCTAGAGAAACACCTGAATTCTGCTATGACTCAGGGAACACTTTATGTTATTACACCAACAGTTTCAGACTAAAAGGATGGCTTAGTTTGCATTTTGTAACTCACAAATCTACAACTATAATGGCTGACTCCCTTCAACTCTGGGCTTCAAAACAAAACATATGTATGTGTTTTTCTGTAGGAACTCAATCACATATAGAAACTTGGAATATTTTAAAGTATCTATCACAATTTGAATTTAAAATTGTCAAGGAATAATTGCTACTAGTACCTCATAGTTAGTAGTTTTTTTAATCTTTTATTTTTTCTTTTCTGTTTTTTATCAGTGGATGAAATGGAACTGTAACTAAATCAATATATCTTAATGTTTTAAATTGTTGTATGTACCCAGACAAAACTTTTTGTGATTGTGATGTAATGTTTTTGATGCTTTGTTTTGTATTGTTATAAGCTGTTAGAAAAACAAGCTTAAGCTAATTTTTAAAGGGTAAAACTGACATTGAAGTATATCTATTATTATGGAACCCTCTTTCATGATCTGCATAGACATGGAAACAATACATTGTTATATTGTGACACTTGTTATTTTATTACAGTTTATTCAACATAATGTTTTTGTCATTGTTTGTACATAAGTCATTACTGAGACATATGTTTTCAATGGGGTTATAGGTTTAGATAGTAATGATTTTTATACAGTCAAAGAAATCCCCACGTAGGTGTAGTACATAAGATAAACATAGTAATTTTTGTCTTGTGCACCATTTTTCGTCTATATGTACTTTTAAATTTGTCCTTGTCTGATAGGTTGATGCTTGTAGTCAGAAGAGGGTGTGTGTCTTTAGTCGAAAAGGAATGTTACTGAGTGCTATTATTTAGTTCAGGGAACTGAAATTAATTTGTCTAAACCTGTTTTTTCATTACATTGTTTTCTGGTGGTAATTAGTTGAAAGCTATTTGTGGTAGCAAAGATCAAAGATATATCATTATTTTTGAGTTGTAACATCTCAGGGTTTTAATATTGATGTATATTAAGATTATAGAAGTTAGTTAATAATAGACATGTTGCAGTGTTTTTTAATTATCATTCTGATACAAATGCCAGTTAATTTTGAAAAAGGAAAAAGAATGAATAAGTTTACAATACATACATTAGCATATACTGACCTCCAGTAAATGGTTACCTTTTAATGTTTTTGATAACTAGAAAGAGTTTCATATAACTTGGAATGGCAAGAAGGTTTGTTGTTTTTTCTTGCACTGTATAATTCCATGTGTGGTGTTTCTTATCAAACATGTTGCCTAATAGTTGTCTTTGTACCTAGATAATACTGTGAATACTTTAACATAACTTCTATCACATTAAATATAAACATTTAAATGTTCTTCACATACCTCATTAGTGCAGGGAAGAAATTTTATTATATATATATAAACAATGTATCCATTATCTTAACTTGTGTTATTTTGAGGGAAAAAAAAAGATCTCAAACTGTCCCTTTATTAGTAGCAAACAAAATCAAAATATTACATTATTATATGGTACATTGTAAAACACTTTGCAACTAGAAAACTTAACTACTGTTATCCACATAAAGTGCAATGGTTTGTTTTTAAAAGTTTGATACTATCTTTTATTGCTTCTCTGCAGTGTGAAAAGCATACCTAACTTTTTGTTGACAAGTTTGTTTGTACCAGGTAATATTATAGCATCTTACTTCTACATAGGAGGGACAACAATATCAGGGGTTTTGAAGTGTCTTAAAGCCTTCCTTGTGGTGCTTGGTCATGGTTCCTAAAGAGAATGCAATATCTCAGGTTATAAGAGCCAGGTATCAAATCCCAGAGAATGAGGGAGAGGAAAAATATTCTATTTTGGCGTAACATTGTTTTATCCCACATTGATATGGGTCTGAAACCTGGCTGGTTAAGATTACAATGTCATCAGTCACAGCACTCATATATATGTGTAGTTATTCTATGCCAGAAATGAGTAGTAAATGACTTGTTGGAATAGGTGCTTTACTACAATGGGAGTATACCTGGTTGTATCTTCCTATGAACAGAGATGGACAGTTGATTGGTGATGGTTGTTTTAAATGCACAGCCTAAGTCACTGAGAATTGGGTTCTAGAGTCTACCTCAAGCTTCTACAAATCAAAATTAGTGTATTTTTTCCTGTTTTCTCTCTAATGACCATGAAATTTACTGATGACTTGATATAATGTATACATATAAGTTGGTGATGTGGTATATGAGGAGGGAGTTTTGTTATGTTAGTATAGATTCCATTTGTGTGCATGTATATTATTCAAGCTGCCTGTGATCGTCTTTGGGCCTGGCTCATACCTTATGGTTATGTGGTTTTATTAAAAATAACTTTTTTCACTCAAAAATAGTGTAATAGGCATTTAAAACTGTAAAAATGCCCATTAGAAAGTAAGCCTGCTGATATACTGTGAAACATGACACAGTATATACATACATGATACTTATATATTTGAACTTTGTATATAAAGCTAAGCTAGCCTGCCCTTCGTAAATCTTCCTGCAGTTCAGGTTCCCTTATGTTTCATGCAAGTGTTGAAAAGTTTTGAAGTGTTTGATATGGTTTCTTCTAACACAATCTTCATATCCACTCTAGATTCTTAAAAAAATGTCACTCTCTCTACCTCTCTTTCTCCCTCCCATTTTAAGCAAATTCAGCACTATGGAGTCATTGGGGACTACACTTAGAGGCCTATCCCAAACTACACCATATTCCGAAGTGCCAGGTTCTCTATGTGTAACCCTTGAGACTTAGTGCAGCCTTTTTAGGTTAGAGCTAGATATTAGAAAGAACACTGTTTATTGTTCAAACTCTCTTCATCAACAGGTTGTCTCAAGACTTGTATATTTTTCTTATCATACATACAATTAGTATTTGAGCTGTGTACAGAAATTTAGAAGGAATATAAATTTAGGCAGATGAAAAATTGTATTGACAAATTCTTTATGCTATGTATATTAATGGTGGAAGAGAAAACTTGATACTTGTATTTTAAGACTCAGATCAATATTATGTTACATACAGTATTGTCTAAGCATAGCATCATAGTTATCTCCTCCATCTGCTGGGTCTACCTCAGCCATCAAATTCAGGGATTTTTAATTCCTTTATTATTTTTAATGATGTTTTTTCATTATTTCTGTATCTGCTGTTGGCAGCAATATGTTTAGGAGTTTAGTAGTGACAGCAGAACACTGAAAGTTGCTGTTTATAATGTGTCAAAACAAAACCATAAATAATGGTATGTATACTAAACAGATTTTTTTTAAAAATGGGCTGCTAGTGCATGTTGAATTGAATCTACACCATAAAAAAATGGTAGGTATGTATATCAAATAGATCAGACAAAAAAAAAGACTTCTAATGATTAATGTATTCTACCTAGTCAAACCTACAAGTTTTGAAATTAAAATTTGAATGAAAAAAAATCACACAGGATTACTTTAACCTTTTCTTATTTTTCTCTGGAATTCTAGAATCTGGGCATTACACATGGTACCTGTGGCACTGTTATAGGTTTAACAACATTCCATCTGTTAGTAGAATCCTCTGCTCATATATAGCGTAATAGTGTAAGAAATAGCTACATGTCATGGGAAGGGGAACTTTAAATGCCATTTGTGCTTTCTAGAAGAAATCATTGTTTTGTTTACTTTGCATACATGTCATTATTGTGTAGCCCATATGTCCTGAATAAAAAAATATCAGAAAGATAGAATGGATGATTCTGTAGTTGGGCTGTTATTGTGCTTATGTTTTGTTAAATTTGTATTTCTTGAGGGCAATAAATTGAAGGCAGATTTCTACCTGATAACTCAGTTTATTTTACATTTAACTACGTATTTTTCAGATTGTTTTCGTGATTCGAGTTTGTTTGTTAGAAGTTAAAACTTATCAAACATGTACATTGCACTTTATTTAATTAATAACTGAATTTAAACGACTATTAAATATACTCACACTGGTCTACAGTAAATAATTCGACCCCTAAAAAAGTACAGAAGCACTTCCAAGTGTTCAAGGTACAATTTTGCAATATAAAGAATCATTTGAAACATTTTGTTTGATTTAGGCACAATTTTTCAGCTGAATGATATACCTTGAAGATTCATATCCTACTATGTCTTATACATGGTATTAATAAATAAATGTACGAGAACCAAAGAGGAAGTCATTGTGGGTTTAACCAGTTGATATGTTTCCCTTAAATACTTAATTCTCATTGGGCTTGAAAAAATTAATAATAGATATATGTTTTATTGAGATAGCGGTTGTCCAGTTGGCATTATTTAAAGTGAAGGTAATACAAAATATCATAAACTAGATAAATGTCATAAATAATGTTAAGTGTAGTGTTTTTAGTTGCTTTTGTGACCTTCTATACATAGAAGCCATCACCGTCATAATTACTTAGATACGCTAAACTGATCTGAGTGCCTAAAATGATGGTGAAGAATAATGTATGGATGTAATATCTGAGGAACACAAAGAAAGAATGAGTACAGCTAACGTCATTAGCATAACATCTATACAAGAGACAGATTCAACGAGGGGTCCATCTAACTACCTATTGTTGCCAAGCTATTCTTTCCTATAATCAAGGCTTCTTGCCTTCTGGAGAGTGATCAAGGGATATGTAGCACTTGCTGCAGATGTATTATTATTTTAACTAAGTTTCCTTACCATGTTGTTCTATTCCATATCACTATGATTTTGATTCTAAAAACAGCAGCAAATGCAGGTGACAATATACAATTCTCATATCTGTGGTGTATGTTAGTTTGTAAATTATTGTTTTTGTATACAAAATGTTTGAAAAAATTAAGGGTGTGTTCATAATGGGAACAACTTATTTTAAGATTCCCCCACCCCCCAAATTGAAAATCATGGATCATCACCTGTATATACTAAAACCTAGTTTCTCTTCAGCTGTATCATTAATAGGTTATTGTCACTCAGAGAAAAATCTGGGTGGTTGTGATTGTATTCTATGTTAATATGTTTAAATTGTATTTTTTTAACATCATAACAAATTAAAGCCTATTTGTAAGAATAGAAATTTAAAATGCTGAAATACTAACGTCTTGTTGAACCGGCAAGGCATTGTACTTTGTACTAACATTTTTTCAATTTCTGTACAAAGTATCAGCAACTTGAGTGCAACTAAACAGAATGAAAAAGTTTACTTCAGAGGACTGTGAGGAGAAAGTTTTAGAATTATTCTAAAAAAAGATTTTCTGTATCATCTTGAAATTATTCTCTGTCGTTAAATTCATGGTCAAAGCTTCCATAATACTAGAGCTAATCTTGGAGATCCACCTACTAGGCACCTGTTTTTGGACTAGGAGACACAAATGAAGAAAACCAAAATATAACTGTATACACACTTGCACATGTCTATGTATACAGAGGGTTGATTATGTTATCTTTAAATGATTTTGAATATGTAAATTAGATATAAATTCACAGTGAAACGATATCACAATTGCATTTTGATTTTGTTTGGCGATCATAAGTAGTGTTGCCACTGAAAATTGATCGCTTTTGGAAAGGGTATGTAACAGCCCTTTCTGATGAAAACTATTCGTATGCTAAGATCATAATAATGTGTCCAAATCAGGAATTTAGATTTTTCAAGTCTGAGATATCACTTGTACTTAATCAAATTGTAAAATAAATACATGTAACAGGTACAAACCCATGAACATAAAGATCCATGGCAAAAGTCATCCACATTTCTCAGGCAACAGTAACATAGTCAAGAAGGATCTTAGTCTGAAAAACAACACACATTGCTTACATAACATAACCCTTAAACCATTACAATGCCTCAAGCCACTGGAGAATGAAATGGGTGCGCATGATATTCCATATGAAGACATACCAATCAAGTCGCCTATAGATTTATGTGTGATTAAATTAGACTGTAGAAATTGACACTGGGAAACATTTGTTGATATACACTATATGGAATGATTGCAGGGTGAAGTAATATTCTTTGGACATGACAACATTACAACAGAGCCTGTTGAAATGGAAATTATTTTACAGTTATTTTCAAGATGTGCAGTTATCAGATAGAGTAATAATGTGGGGAGGCTCCAAAATCATTTTAATATAACGAACTCAACCTTTGTGTATCTTATATTCATTTTGGATTTTACCCCTGGTCAGAAAGGCAACTGACAAATGTAACAAATTCATTTTGAGTGAATTAAGTACTTAACTGTATATATGTGGTAGCTACATTTAACTGAAATTAAGCACTCCAGTAATCCATTTGTCATCAAATAACCTTAGCCTACTTACTTGACTCAAGTTTCTTACTTCTAATAAATGGATATCTTGGAATGTTATCTTTAAGAATGCAACTTTCACGTGTTTTCTTCTATGTTTATAAAAAAAACGTCTAAGACCCATCCCACCCTTTGTAAAAACCATGATCATCATATGCTTTAGATTATACATGTCACAATAAATAGCATCCATGGAAGGTAGGCAGTTCAAACAAAGAAAGATTCTCACTGAAGCTGCACTATTTTTAATTCTAAGCCTTACTTTGCTTTTTATGGAGACCTACAACAGATGAAAATATATAATAGGTATCTAAACTACACAAATGTAATACTACTCAAAGGAAATGAATCTTGTGATTGTCAAAGGAAATTAATCTTGTGATTGTGAGAGCTGAGGATTTATTACACTGAAAAACAACTATTCAATCTACAACCTTAATTTCTGTTCAGTTTTGAAGCTTTAATAAAATATAAGATCATTAATGTGCTGCTAATAAAAAGAACCCTTAGTACATCATGAAACTCAAATGGCCAGAATTCATTAGAAATTGTACACTACTTTTATAATGTTACTTGTCAGGATAAACCAGTGGTTTTTTTCTCATGTAGTTAACCCTTTGAAGATCACTAACACGTATTTCCCCCCAAAAATACTTCTATTAACAATGATAATGTGAGCAGCTGTGATATGCATATATTATGGGTGTGACCCTTTCATAACTTGGAAATCATATGTATCTTGATTCAAGTATATTCAGGTAAAAAGTTCAATAAAAGTTGTCTGTGCTTCGATGTTCTACATAAACAGATTATGACCAATCACAAATGTTTCTAAACTCCATCTTAGACTGTCACACATGGTCAGAGTTAGCACAAGTTTATCTACTTCTGTATATGGACAACACATTAGGCAAGTTATTAATTCCTTTGTTACAAGATCTGGCGTACAGGACATATGAAGAAATAGACACAGCAAAATTTTATTTTTGTTTATAATGAGACTTGTTTTCTGACTTTTTTGTTATGTTAGGCCTTCTAGGGAGTACTGGATAAGTTTAAACTTCAATACTGTTCTGAGTAGTATGTCTGTCAGAATAACATTAGTCTTTGTAGAATGAAGTTGTGTTTTCAACTCGTTATTCAAGATAAAGTGAGGCCATTTTTAACGAATTACAGTTTGTCTCATTTTACATTAGATTGAATCATGTGTCATTCTTCACCATTTGTTGTGTACTAAAGTGTGTTTGCTCTAAGTTGAAACAGCTATGGTATTTTCAGGTGAAACTGATTTTTCCCAAGAGCGAATAATTTAGGTCCACTATATAACAAGAAATTTGAGTTTGTGCAAAAAAAAAGACATTGGACACAAATGTAAGCACACAGTGAAAACAGTCTTTATTTCCACCACAGAACAACAGTGTGTGTATTACCAAAGCACAAAAGACAATTGTCTTTACTGTAAAATGTTAGTTTGTGGTCTAAAGTGTAGAGAAAGCTGTAGTCCTTCCAAAATCTTTATCAATTTGTCTGTCATTCTTGATCAAACTATATCTTACAGTTTGGGAAAAATCACAATATGTGTTTAAAATTATAACTTCACACTTTCTAAGGGTTCCCACTCACATGATTGGTCATTCCCTTTAGAAAATAAGGGAGGATATAGCCTCCAAATATCACCTAACCTACCAATGAAGAAAATTTCTGTCTTCTTTCTTACACTAAGAACAGCTATCTTCCTCACAGGCAAACGAGGTGTTACCCTCCAGTAAATGACAAAGAACAATAGGTAGGTAGAGTAAAAGGAACTGAATGACTTTCTTGACTAATGTATTATGTGAAAATCACACATATATCTAAATAAATGATAAATTTTGAAAGAGTCTTTATTAATACAAGGGGTAGCAAATACATAGTATAACACAATTTATTTAAGGCTGTCCCAGCCAATCCTAATTTTAAAGTTTAAAACAAATTATTTGTAAAGAAATAGGTGCAACCTTCTCTCACTCCACTAGAAACACTTGAATGGTAATTCAGACAACACAATCCTTTAACATGTATACATAATTCATTGGTAATAGTTACATTAGTAATACAACAATAGAAACTTTAATAATGATATAATTTAAGACATTGTTAAATAGACCCTTCAGAAAAATAAAACATGTTGAATCAAAAATAAGCACACAACATAACTAAAAAATAAACTCTTTAACAGTGAATACAAATCAACCCCCTTTAATAATAAAATTATTTTAATAAATGAAGAGAATAGAATAATACATCAAGTAATCATACTAAATACACAATAAAAGACAAAACCTATTAACACTAAATAAAATAAAATGTTTTAAAATTAGCAATATCAGACAACCCATTAACAATGATAATTAATTTTAGTCATTACACAGTGAAATCACAGCCAAAATTGAACTTACAAAATGCAAAACAAACATTTGGAAAATGATGCTCATTTCACTTTCATGAGAGGATATTATTCAACATAGATAAATATGGA